CTTGGAATTTCTCTTACTTGATACAGCTATAGTGCTGTGACGGTTCCACCTGAAGACGGAAGCTTGTGTTGCCTCCGAAACGTCGTGATTTATATTTTTATTTTACTTTTATTAATTTTAATTTTTTACCTACGTGACTTTACCGAAAAAACCTAAGAATATGAATCCTTGCAGTCACGAAAGCTTCAAATCTAGAAACAGGTACTGCTGTCCCCCGGGCGTTAGCGAAAGCAAAACAATCGCAGAGGGTTTTCACTTGGGAATTCCATTTCATAAATGTTTATTTTCTTAAACATACTCTTTGGTTCTTTCGGTAAAGTCACGTAGGTATAAAATGAAATAAATCACGACGTTTCGGGCGCAACACAAGCGTCCATCATCAGGTGGGAAAGCATGGTCTGCTGCTGAGGCAGACTGTTTCAGGAGGCAATGCGTGTCAGCATTGCGAAAGCAGCATTTTACACGTAAAATATTTCATTCTGGAGTTGTCATATTCCCATTTGTCCTGGTTTTTCAGCGTCCGCTGACTTTTGATTGTGTTCTTCGCAGGTTGTGTACATGGTGTGGAATGCAGTCAATGACCCGCTGTTCGGATATCTCCAGGTGAGGTCATTTATCATCCTTTTCGTAATGTTTGTTGCATTAGTCAAACCGATAGTGTTATTATCCTGCTGGAATTTGGCCAAATTAATCGCAGAGCCAAATTTGATGTGATTCATGTTTTGTTCCGTCATTGGTGACCGTGCTGAGACAATGAATTCACTGCACCTCAGAACCTGGTTTAAGCAAAGTCGACTGCTTGGATGCCCAGGATCTCAGCGGCACCAGCTCAGCGATCTGACCTCTAAACCTCCTGGCCACCTCCACGTTTTATCACTAATGCCTGACGATGTTCACACCACGGAGAGAGCGGGCGCGTCTTCACGCTCACGACCCTCATTTATGTCCCTCGACGGTGCCGAGCAGGACACGGGCAGCTGGGCATGCTGCCGTAGCCGGCGCTTGGCCATTGCGTACGGTGCCACGCTCTACGCCGTCGCCTTCCTCTTGCCCTGGTTCCCGTGGCGGAGCGGGGGCTATGGGCCGGGCGATCCGCTGGCAGGAGTGCACCTGCTGGTGGCCCTGTGCGCCTTCGACGGCGCGCTCACGTTCGTGCTGCTGGCGCAGTGCGCGCTCTTTGCCGAGATTTCCGGCCGGCACAGCGACCGCCTCACGCTGCTCAAGTACAGCCAGGTGCGACGCAGACAGATGCGCCAACACCTCTGATTAGCGCGGTTGGCTTATGCGTGATGCGAAAGAAGGTCGGCGTATGTACATGCATACGGCAGATGCGCCGATACATTCGCACACAGGCCGACGGAAACTTCCCAGCGGGCAACGTTCCTATGGTAGGCTGATAGTGAATATAATTTTTTTGTAAAATACATTGGAATATGTCTAAACGTTTTGAAAGATTGTGATCCTCACATTTGCTTTTGTCGACAGAAATGGCAGTTTAATTTCCACAGCTGTCTTGTCCCTTCGCCCGTCGCCATCTTATACCACTTGCAGAGCATTATTAAAATGCAGCATCTACCATAAAACGGAGGCGTAGTACCACATTTTCAGTGGCACAGCACAAATCCCACGTTTACATTTTTTTACTTTTTCTTTTTTTAATATTCAAGTCTTCGATGCAAAAAGGTTAACGAAGCTTTCGGTCCTTTGGCACATTTAATATAAGCGAGTATAAAAGTAACCGTGCTCTTCGATGGCCTTCCGTGTGTCTGGGCAGGTGGCCTCATTCCTGGGCTCGGGCTCGGTGCTGCTGTGTGGCCTCATCACGAACAACATGACCGTGTTTTCCACCATGCAGTGGTATTGCGTGTTGGCGGCCTGCATCGCGTGGCTCTGCATGCGCTACACGGGCATCCATGTGGTGTCTGCCACTGATAAGCTTTCCAGCCACGCCACCACCAGCAACCCAGAACCCCAAGACACTCCACTTCTTAAAGGTGCCGTGCCTAGCTTCTGCTGGATCTTGTATGCAAACGAGCCGAGTTGGGGTTTTGAGCCTGGTGTTTTCTAGCGCTGTTTATCTAGAACATTTGGCTAAACCAAATATTAACCAGGGAATTAGACCCGTGAGCCTTTTCATCAAGAGAGCTTTGAACCCTTCCTGTGTGTGTGCATATCGACAAAGCGCTGGCTAAACATGGCCTATTGTATAGCGTGGTGCTCCCTCGTATTTTATGAGCCCAGGGGTGAGAGTATTCCCTTCTACAAACAGCAGACGAGGATTCAAATCTTAGTTTGCTCTCATCGTCAGCCATGATGACAGCCTCCCCTAGCCGCCACCACCACATCTCACGATCAGCACCCAGTTACCTGCCCATTAAGCGAAGGATATCCAATCGGCAACACGTTCGCAGGGCGCGGAACTCTCCGTGTCTATGAACTGCAGCTCTGTCCATTCACGCAAAGCATCTGCACTGCATCCCCTGCTGCGTGCAGACGGCAAAGCCCTGCCCCAGGCGTCGGCCGTCTCGCTGTCGCTGCAAATCATGCGGCAGCGGGACTTCCTTCTGTTCGTCGCCATGAACTTCCTGCAAGTCCTGCACGTCACCTTCTCCAGCAGCTTCACGCTCATATTTGCCGAGCAGCTGCTGCCCGCCGCTACGATGCCCACGCGAGCGCAGAGCGTGCTCTACGGAGCGGGCTTCATGTGTCCGCAGGTGAGGGAGGGGGCCCCGTTGAGATGCCCTGTGTATGTGTGTTGGTGAATGGACTAATATCCTTGTTGTGATAACTTTTATTTTATTGTTTGTGCTTTTGGTTTTGGTGCCATTTGCTGCTGTGCATTTCCACGTGAGAAGCCACTTGGTTGAGCTATAATGTGTGGCCAGATCGCTTCGAACAAATAGGTTAATACCTTTAAATTTCGATTTAAAGCTTTCGTGGCTGCAGGGATTCATATTCTTGGTTCTTTCGGTAAAGTCACATAGAAGGGAAATAATAAAATAATAAAAATTAAAGAATACAATTCTCACGATGTTTCGATTGCAACACAAGCAATCATCAGGTGTGAAAACCACAGCAAGAATTTTTTTTTAAACGCCACATTTTTAAAATTTTCTTGCTGTGGTTTTCACATGATTGCTTGTGTTGCAATCGAAACGTGATAATTTTATTGTTTAATTTATTTTATTTTATTATTTCTCTTTTACGTGACTTTACCGAAAGAACCAAGAATAGGTTAATACCTCATTAGTATTTGTCTGCTATGATGGGCATGGGTCAGTTTTATTGATATGTTTTTGGTCTATTTGTTTACCTTTGTTATACTTTGCATGACTATCGTGGTTTTGTATTGTTTGCTGTAACATTCTAACCCGCCCCTACGAGACATCTGTGAAAACGAGCCTTGTATCTCATTGGATTTCTCCAGGAACAATAAATATTCTAATTCTAGATTTGAAGTTTTCGTGACTGAAAGGATCCGTACTCTTTGGTTCTTTCAGTAAAGTCACGTAAACGAAAAATAAAAAATAATAATAAAATGAAAATAACTAAATTAAATCACGACGTTTCGGAGGCAACACAAGCTTCCGTCATCAGGTGGCTGTTCTACCTGTTGACGGAAGCTTGTGTTGCCTCCGAAACGTGATTTAATTTAGTTATTTTCATTTTAGAATTATTTTTTTTCATCTACGTGACTTTACCAAAAGAACCAAAGAGTAATATTCTGATTATTAATTGGTAGTAGGCTTTGCTTGGTTACTGGCTGTAAATGAGATTTGGTCCCTATATATAATGAATGTACAGCATTGTGGAATCTTATTGGCATCAATGACGCTATATAAAATGAAAGTATTATTATTATTAGGACTGAGTTGTGTGTTTTTTATTTGTGTACATGTGGGTCTCATCCGCCTATTCATTCTCATGTCCATGGGGCATTCATCCAATCGCTCATCCACTTACGCATACAGCTACCCTCTTCATCCACCTATACGCTGACTCATGCGTGGACGCACTCACCCATTCACCCAATTTCACACGCTCAAACATTGCGACCGCCAAACTGGGAGCACTCAAACGTGTGCAGACACCAACTGTGACCCTCCGATTCGCTCGCCCCGAGTACTCGCTCTCCACCGCCCGTGTCTGTGCCCACAGATCCTGGTGCTGTGCAGCCAAGGCTTGCTGCAACGCGTCGGATACTACCGCTTGCTGCTTCTCGCCTTCGTCCTTCAGCTGTGTCTCGCCACGATCACCTTCGTGGCTGGCTCGTCCTGCTACGTGTCGCTCACCGCCTTCCTGCTGCTCGACATGTGAGCATAAACTGGGAAGCAAATGTTTTTATTGTACTAGGTAAGGCCCACGAAGCTCTGTGTAGCTCTTTTTCAGAAGCGACCTCGCCACAAATGATAGCTTCACCGAAGTGGCTTATCGCGTGGAAATTTATCGCGGCGAAATACTCTAAACTCGTGTTTCTAAATGTGAAAGGAAAAACCGGCGTTTGCACGTTCTCCACAGGGAGAACGTGCAAACTCCAAACATACACTCGACTCGATTATCCGTGCTGATGACGGGGAGGATGGCTGCGGATAATTCAAAATCACGGATTATCCAAAAATACAAATTTTCCGCGAATCTCTATACCAAAAACCACTAATATGTTGTATAAATGATGTTTAAGTTAAGAAAAGTGAGTTTGTTAACGAATGCTGACGATCGACCGATCGATGCGCGTGCTCAGTGATAACACTTTCCTGCTCGTGCGCAGAAGACTAAGTGGACCGCAGCAGAGCCACACCGATCAACATCAATCAAACTCCACCCACTGTTGTAAAGCGTTGCAACTTCTGTACTGTAGAGGCGATCACGTGGATTTTGGATTAACTGGAGCACATATTTGTTCGGTTTAAGCACGTGACTTGTAATAGACATTTCCAAGAGATTATTCATTTGGGCTTCAGGGAAAATCCACGAGTCATTAATTTACGTCAAAATCTCAGGTGCGCGGTTAATCCACAAATCGGATAAACCGCATGAGGATAATCGAGAGTCTACTGTGTACAGGCGTTAGGGTCAGGATCGAGCCCGCGACCTGCATACTAGGTGAGGGAGTTAACATCTCAACCATCGCGGTTCCCTAGCATGCCACTGCTGGGCTTAGTGGTGAATGCATCCCGTGATGCATGACCTCTCCATGCTATACCGCATTCTTGTACAGGGAAATTGAGTTTTCAGGTCCGTACGGTGTACAGCCGTTTCAATGCAAGCAAGCAAAACAACTTTTTCGGCTATTTGTGTTTCTCCCTTGCGATGGGATTTTGTAGGATGAACATTGAGATGTATCGGTCGGAATTGGTCTGTAATAAGATGGGCACTGATAAGGGTTTGACAGGTATCCCACGCTGCCAGTCAAACGTGCAGGTCACGGTTTGGCAGTGCTCTGATCTGCACGCTTGTGGGTCTTCCTTGGTGAGAGGAGCGCAGGTGAAATCCCATCCGTGCCCCGTAGGGTTCTGTCAGCCATGATCAAACTGCGCCATCTCCTGGGCAAATAGAAGAAACAGTGACGTGTCTCCTGTCTGCTTGTAATGGGAGGTTTATCTAAGGGGCCGTCCATAAATGATGTCACACACCTAGGGGGGGGGTCAGACATTTGTGACGATGTGTGACGATGGGGGGGGGGGGGGTTGAGAAATGTGACGTCACATCAACATGCGCAACTTTAAATAAATATAGACAACACGTTCTACTTAATTAAATAGACTTTTAAATAAATGTTTTCTCCTACATCAGAGTGCAGCGCCACATTAAATACGTACTACAATGACAATCGTTTAAAGCGATTTGAAGCATTTCTTTTTTGTGGGGAGGGGGGGGGCAGAGATTTGTGACGTCATATTTGAGGGGCGGGGTCTGACTTTTTGTGACGGGGGGGGGGTCAAAAATCGTCCAAAATCGCGTGACGTCATTTATGGACGGCCCCTAATTTCTTTAAACAAACGCCAATCACCTCGCCGGTGTGTTTTCTGCGTTGTGCCACGTGTTGTTCGGCACGTGGCACAACGCAGCTGGTAGCTTCTTCAGTTCCAGGAAATGATGAAGCACACAGGTCGCTATACCACCAACACCAAGAGTGAAATTGTAATTCTGCGTTGAATCTTGATTTTCAGTTGCAAGCTGTATTTTGTTGCTTTTAATTAATGTATGTGACAGCTACTTCATCCCTTCCCAACCCTGAACGGTGTTAATTGTGCTCTGTACTACTAACTACTATTATTATTTTACCAGGTAAGGCCCACTGAGCTATATAGATCTTTTTCAGAAGCAATGATAGCTCAACGAAGTGGCTTATCGCGTGGAAATGTATAGCCTCCAAATACTCGAAACACCGGGGGACCTGGAGAAAAACCCACGTGGCCACGGGGAGAACATGCGCACTCTAAATATATACAGGCGTCAGGGTCGGGATGGAACCCACGACCTCGTGTAAACTAGGCAAGGCAGTTAACATCTCACCACTGTGGCGCTCCGTGTGTTTCATTGCAGGGTCCTGCCCCAGGCTGTGTTCAGCCTCTTCAACCTGCCTCTGTCTGATATCATCGACGCGGACGCCCGGACCCACCGACGCAGGTGCGTGGACTCGGCGAGGGCGCAACAGGGGCGACGCTCATCGTGCCTCGCAGCAAGAAGGGCCTGCGTTCAATTCCCAACTCGAGTACCTTTCTGCGTGGAGTTTGTAGTTTCACCCCACTGTTCTGCATGGGTTTCCTCCGGGATATCCCAATTTCCTCCCACGTACAATCGAACCAGTTTTGACCAATATCCCAATTCTGATTTTAAAAAATCCTGCAATTTAGTCATTTGTGATTACACGTAGCAACATTGCCCCCGACTAACAAAGCTTGGCGGAACTCTCCTGAAACAAGCAACATAATAATCAACAACTTTGTGCCCATTTTGCATGAGCCGTGTAAAAAAATATAATTGTATTAATGTTAGCATCGACTCACCGTGTTGTTTTTAGTTTAGATTCTTCTCCGCTTCATATTTGTAGAGCTAATGATGTTTATAAATATTCAGCTCAAGTTGGATTTTCCAAATCGCGCTCAAGGAAGTTTTTGCGTGTGGTTCACCAACTGCCTCTAGTTCGAGAGGGGCCTTTGTGTGTGTGTGTGTGCACAAAGGCGGTCGGGCGTGGTGCTGGCCACCCACCCCTTCGCATGCCATGCCAGCCTTCGCGAACAGCACTTGCCCCAACAGTCTCTAAAGGCTATACTGGGGGTTCTTTGTCTTTGTATGCATGTGCAGCTCTCCACTCTCATCTATGGTGTTTGGGCTCAACGCACTGTTCACCAAGCCAGCACAGTCGCTAGCGCCCATGCTGGTGGTCAGGATCCTGAACCAGCACGGCTACCAGACCCTGGGGGACATGGCTGGCACAACAGACACCAGGTGGGCTACGGTCACGTGTAAGTAGAGCTGGGACGACGATTCGTCGATTTTTTTTTTTTCTCAAATAATGGACAAAAATTTGTAGTCGGACCGACGTTTTGAGCGGTTTAATTTTCGGGGGCCCCTTTAAAAGTTCGAGGCTGTTTACATGCTGCTTCGCAAAGTCGGGAAATCTCCTGCGCAAGCCACGCTACCGATGACGTCGCCAAGGCCTGCCCATCGCTGCCCACCCATCTCTTTCTGTCCAGCGGTACGAATTGGAAGAGGGGGTGACACTTCTGCCCCCCCCCCCCCAACTATTGTCATGGTGTCCATACAGGCGAGTAATCGGAATAAGTAATAATTTGCTTCAATAATCGTATTTGCGCGTCTCTCTTTATATGCTCGAGGCACTCGTCTGCATGCAGGTTCACTTCTTGATTGTCAGCAACATAAGAGAGTATTGAGCGAGATTTGAAGTTTTCGTGACTGCAAGGATTCATACTCTTTGGTTTGTTCGGTAAAGTCACGTAGGTAAAAAAATTAAACAAATAAAATCACGACGTTTCGGGCGCAACACAAGCGTCCTTCTTCGGGTGGGGACAACTTAGCGAAAGCACACACGTCGTGATTTAATTTATTTGAATTTTTTACCTACGTGACTTTACCGAAAAAAACAAAAAGTATTGAGCGAGTTTCGCCCAATGAAGTGTCTCGCTTTAATTGCTCATCCTCTAAGGTTCCATAATAAAACGGCATTCACCAGCGCACTTGAACAATGCCACCTCGTGTGAGATTGAATTTACTCAAGTGGATAGGCGGGAAGGACATCCTAATTAATCGCATTTGATTGACAGAGATACGACTGCAGGTTGTTCACATTGTGGTTGAAATCCCGTCCGCCGGAATGCAGATTTAGGCCTTCTATTAAAATCCTATCAAACTCAAGCCAATAGGAGGTCACTCATTCTCTACCACTGCCCCTGTATTCTGGGAGGATAGCATCGAGATAATTTATTGAAAGTGTATGTAGTCGCCTGGTGTTAAAGCATAGCACCGACCCTAGCATTGAACGCTCAACCTGAGTTTGTCATTGACTGGTACCTTTGCCATTGCGTGTTCAGTGCCGTAGCATGGCAAGGGCGGGGTGGGCGTGCAAGGTGGACGGGCAGGGCGGCCGCCCCCAGGTACATCTCCCAAGAGGGGTGCTACAGGAATGGGTCGCTGAATTGTTGGAACACGAAGTAAACAGTGGCGGCTGGTCGCTCCGGTTTTTTTTCCCGAGGGTGGAATCGGTGCCGCAGCAGCAGGAGAGGGTTGGGGGGGGACAGTGTGAGGATATCACCTTGCCCCAGGCACCAGAGTGTACAGCTACAGCTCTCGTCAATGTTGAGACGATTGGTCCAAGATTTGTAATGTGCCATGTTCAGCAAAAAATCTGAGACAAAAGCGCGGATGGCACACAGAAAAAGAAAAAAGAAATGCTTATTCGGGCCACGGAATGTGATCCTGAGAGCAGCAGACTGTAGTACTGATCTTTGTGCCAAGTCTAACACTGACCTGGGTTCACATTGCGTGCTTGTGTCTGTGTGGCCGTGTGTGACGTGTGTCTGTGTGTTCCTGCTCGACTCCGCATCCCCCCAGCTCGCAGGCCGGGCTGCACCAAGCCATGTTCGGCCTGCTGTGCATTGTCCCGGCCACCATCTCCCTGCTGCAACTGTGCATATGGGCACCATTCTCAATCCGCAGCAGCCACAATGCCATCCCACGGCACGCCGACCTGTAGACAGAACCCAGACCAGCTGTGAAAAAGAGGTATCTTTTTTTTTATTTCATGGCACGTGTCGTCTTGGTGTAATGGTGCACACGCTGGACTTGCAATCCAGAGGGTCACCACTTGGATCTTCTGGCGCGGCGGTTAAAACGATGGTAGCATAAATGGGTACACGGCGGTTAAAACAATGGTAGCATAAATGGGTACACCGCAGTCGATTTGGCAGGTCGTGTGTGGTGGGGTAGCCTTCGTGCTCCCACCTCTATTCCGAGATGCCCAGCCAGCTTAGAAGAGAACGCCCAAATACCTTTGGAGAGGGACTCTTTAAAGATCCCTCATGTGGAGGCCCTTCCGCCAACAGTGGTGTGAGCAAGCAGTTGCAGGGCTGCGCCTTCACCTTGTTTAGTATTCATCACACCTTGGCACTTAACCAGTGGAGGTTAAATTGTACATGTGTATACACACACACACCTGGTGTTTTTAAACCCTGTTTTACCATCAGGGGTTGACTTGAGACCAGTGGTTATTCACCTTGACTGCAGCCCTTTTGGTTCTCAGAAAGGACATCTCGCGCCCCAGGTTAAGAACCACTCATTTCGACTATCGTCGCATTTCTTAGGGGTCAGTAAAACTCGTTTTGCATGGTGAGGCGGCTGGTACCATTTAGTGCATAGCCAAAGTTGTGTTAAAGAGGCGTGCAATGGAATTGAAACCGCCAGATCAGGAGCAACAGTGGAGATAAGATTCAGTGCCTAAACAAGTTAGGAAGAATCGTCAATACACTTGGATTATGTAATGTTTTCCAACACGCGCTTGTCTTTGGAAGTATTTAATTAGTACGAAAGCCAACAGGCAGTTGCATAATTGTAAATAATCCTTTTTGCTCTTATGTGGGTCTCCCAATTTTTTGGCCGATCGTTCATCGGTCTGGCTGGTTTTCTGTATAGCAAGTCCCAAATAGCAACGCAACTTTTTTTATAGGATCGTCTTTACGAGAGTTATCATTCCGTTTTTGTATTTGTGCTCCCAACAGGTCATGGCGACCCTCGCAGCTCCTCTGCATGGCAAAGGAGGGCGAGGAAGTGAGTGGGGGGAGTGGGTGAGGGCCGTGAGGAGTGCAGGACTCGAGCGAGATTCAGGGGATGAGATTGAAATCTCCGCCACTTTACTTCCGAAGCCGTGCGTGCAAGCCTCGTCAAAGTTTCTTCTTTTTTGAGCTTTGAAGTTTAAAATGTCACAGTCGGCACTTCCCCATATCCAGGGCCAATATGGGGAAAACGTCGGCCATGTGAATAGGTCTGCTTCAACCAAAAAGAGGATATGTTTTAAAATAAGTTCACCGTAAATTTTGATTTAAAGCTTTCGTGACTGCAGGGATTCATCTTCTTGGCTCTTCCCTTCTACGTGACTTTACCGAAAGAACCAAGAAGAAGTTGACCTTATTTTAATTTTAAGTGTGGTTTACGAGGTCAGGCTGCTTGCTGAGCATTTATTCGCTCAAGCGTCTTCAACGAGCATCTCCAGGAGTTGAATTCAACTGCTCAAGATTGCAACGCATGGCACACAAAAAAAAAATGCGAGTGAGCGAAAACCCCAAGTGGATTAACAAGCGGATTACAAAATCTCACGCTTTAAATTCACCGCGATTATTCTTCCATGCCCCCCTAAGCATTTTAAGGACTTAATTTCCGAGAATATTCCGATGCCATCTCTTTTTCGTATGGTCATTTACAGCAGCTGCAAACTAATGACCAATCTGCGAACGAAGCGGTTGTCTTGAGTCAATGGCGAATCAATTGTTTGTACACGGTCACTCGTGCCGAACGGTAGCACACGTTTAATACTTAAGTGTGTCATGTCATGGGACCTTGTTTTGGCAGTATCAAAGTATGAAAAATAAGAATAGGTTTTACCTTTTTCAGGCAATAAAACAGGTGTTCAGATGGTCAAACAACAAATGATACCTTTTACAAGGAATCAAGTGTGCATTAGCCACACGTAACGTGTTAACATGCAAACGTGCTCTGATGTTCCTTGTCTTTGAAACTGATTGGTCTACACCAGACAGCCTTCTTTATGGCCTCGTCTCACCTGTGTTAGACCAGAGAACGCCAAAAGGCGACCGGCACAAAGACAATGCCACACGTATCGGAGTATTTTTAGCTCGGGGAGAGCGGAGATTTCATGTGACCTTAAGCATGTCGGTCAAGTATGGACTTCTACGTTGAGGTAGGAACCTCGTTCTCCTCGCCGTTCGTGGAAGATGAGAATAGGCGCACGTCCTCGCATGCGCTTGTGCACGCGAGTGCATTTGCACAACAAATTGACCCCCCCCCACATTACAAAATGTCCATCTATTGCCTTGAATTTGGGCCCAGCATGCGTTCATCGGTAACGTTCAAGCAATGTATAATAGGTTCAAGTAAAGTATAATAGATTCACATTCTCCCATCAAAATGTTTCATCTTAATATCTATAAAACGCCAATACAGGGACTCCTCTACTTCCGAACGAGTTAGGTTCCAGAGGTCTGTCAATCGATTTGTACGTAAGTCCACAACTTTACTCCTGTCGATTCCAAACATGGTGTACGGCATGTACACTAAAAGTTGTATAATCTCCTGTAGATGGCACTGGTTCATGTTCTGCAGATGTCGGTGCCACCAGCACCATCTTTTAACCCGGTGGTTGAGCTAACAACTCTCAGTCCAAACAGGCAACTGGACATACGGGCAGGTTTGTTTGTACGAGTTTTTTAAGTCGACTAAGTAGAGGAGTCCCTGCAGTTCCTTCCATACGATGTAAACAAAGCATATTCACTCCTGCGCCAACAGGTGTCTTGGCTAGACAAGTCACATTTGTACAGTAAAGGTCTCAACAAATGTTCTCTCTTACCGTAAAGGTATTAAGGTACATCACTGCTAATAGACTCGGAAAACAAAACACTGATTACGTGCCATAAAAACACATTCCTGCGGAGGGAGCTGGTAGGAACGTTGGGTTGCTCGGTCAATGGCCAGGGTCAACGGCGGCGTGGTGTATTCCGCAAATATGGCCGACTGTGAGGGCGGGCACAAGCCGGCGTGAGTAGGTTAAACGTTGAGTTTTATAAGGGCACCACGGGGTGACCAGCCCCTCCTCACCCAGCCCCACCCCTCCCACCCCCCACCCAGCCCCTCCCTCTCCACCCAGCCCCGCCCCACCCAGCCCCACCCCACCAACCCCTCTCCACCCAGCCCCACCCCACCAACCCCTCTCCACCCAGCCCCACCCCTCCCATTTTTGGATGCACGGTGGACAGACGGACACAATAATCCCCTGTGGGCTGGTGTAACCAGGTTCCTACCAGTATAATCAAAAATTATTGAACTTGCCTGCCAGGTTGCCGTTTTATTACTAGGGAATTCATATTGGTGTTTCATGTCGCCCAATGGTGGGATTTTACTTGTTTTAAGTGCCTTTAAATTTACAGATGTGCTCATGTTTGTATATTTTTGGATGTTACATTTGAATATTACACTAATCATGTATATACAAACTGTGCAATTGCAGTAAATGGTACAATTTTTTTTTGATATGCACTTTTAAAAAATAAAATAAACATGGCTTAAGTCTTTTTATGCAACCTCTTTCTTAAACGTCCTTGCGCCCTTAGGCATTCTTGCTTGAGATTGTTGACATGGTTAGTGCACATGCCCAGGCTCCGTAAACCAAGGCGACCACTGCAAAGGAGACACCTACCAAGGAGACTGCTGGTGTCAAGATCAGCTTCTTGTAGAGGTGACGGGCGGGCGAACAATACTGGCGTTCCATGGACAGGCATTCACGGCGACCGTGGCGTGTTGCAGAGATAAGCAAGCGAATTTGTAAGCGAAACATGTCAGATCATCCTTAAGCCATTCAACAGCATCGTTTATAAGTTGATTAGTTATGGTGCCGTGGTTCAGGGGGAATCGATAAGTTGACCGTGCGTTGTAGTGAATGTAAGTTGCCACCCATAGCCATTCGTGTTGGGTATTCTCCCCAAAATGCCACCAGGCAATACAGAGAAGACTACTTTGTACACATGAGAGAGGCTGCCACCCAGGCACGCCAATCCCTCCGAGCTTAACACACGTTTATTTTCAATATATCAACACTTGAGCCCTGGCAATGATGCTGTAATATGCAGGACACCCACATTATACAAAAAGATTAAAAGCAAAATTAGCATGACACACCAATAATAACGGTACTTGAAATTAAGTTCCTATAAAAAATAACTTGAGTAATGTTATTAAAGTATTACACTTGTCTCCTGGTCACTCAAAGTTTCAACGTAAGCCAAGTGAAATGCATGAAATGTGGGAAAACTCGTACTGGAGTGTTTTATGAACTCAGACATTGCACTTATTTTATTAATCCAGATGGCACAAAGTACTGAAACATTTTATTGCGCCCAGAATTACAGCTTTGCACAATAATACTCGAGCAATTTTCAAGACTTTGTATTTTAGAGGCAAAAACTTTCCAAAACTTATAAATTTAAGACTATTATTTTAGCGTGGCATAAATCCCCCTCTTATGTCCCCCCCCCCAATCTTTAACATATTGACTGGAAAATAAGTATTCTAAAATACTATTTCAAAATTAATCACGCTGCATAAAACAAGTTTAATATTTAGAAATTAACAATTCTTTTTTTTATGCTTTTTAATTTTTGTTGATGCATCTTCTTTTCTTGTGTTCCAATCATAACCGTTTTGACGGATGTTTGATTAAGCAGGTACCATTTTACATTACTTTGAAAGTAATCCAAAGATAAAAGGAACATTTCTAACAGAAATAAAACACTACCCAAATCCGTGCCAAATAAACCTGCTCAAAAAAAAATCAAAATCTTCATGTTTGAAAGTTTTTGTAGGTACTGAAGATTAACAGGAAAGACCCCATTCGCATCAACAACACGTTCATCAGAGACATGCTTGAACCTTATTAAATGCATTTCAAAATATGGCATTTTTCTATCTAGACAAACGAGAGAGATCTATTTTATGGGGTCTGCAGCGATTTACATTTATCCCACAAATACAAAAATAAAACAAATCCAGTTTCTCAAGAGTAGGTCGTAGAGTCAACATCTTTTCGCAGCCACTTGCAGGCTCTAGGATTTGTTCACAAGATTGTTGTGTGGGTCTAATCTTACGTAGTGAATTTCCTAGTTGAGTAGTGAGTGTGCACCAATGAGGACAATCTGCAGCGGACACACATTGTTTGCCACAGTCACAGTGACCTGTTATTTTGGACTCCCATACTACCTGCCAACCATGATCAATAACAGAAACTTGGCAGATAGAGACCTTAAAAGTCTTGATGCTCTTGTACATCCAACTTGGGACAATGCAAGTCACTGGTCCTTGTATTGAACAACGCCAGCACATTACCTCTGACAGCGAACACTAACAGCCACTACCTATACGAAGACGATACTTGAGGACCAACGGTCCTTGCACAATGCCCACCACGGACCTTGTGTACGAGACGCAAAACATAAACTTGCTTTGCAATCCTGGCTATGCCCACACGCACTGTGGGTTCACTCAAAACAACCCTGATCACAAGGTTACGATTTTTGACACAGCTCAGTTCATGTGTTTCCAGAGTCCAGTCCTTTCGCGGATCCTGAACCAATTTTCAGCCTTCCACACTGGCAAACATTTTCCGTTTCCCGTTAAGGCAGCAACGGTGCACTACATACCACTATGGACGGGTATAACGCGGAGAGCAAATAAAGCCGGGATTGTAATGCCTGGCGAGCATCATTGTGCCTTGAGCACAAGACTCCTTTAAGCACGTTTATAAAGCCACTGCCCGTTCCACTCTCAGTGCGGAACAGCGGTCTGCTAAACAGGCCAAGTTGTTCATGCAAGTATGGGACACCAGTGGGATCACTTGGGGCTCCTGAAGGGGTACAACTGGCCCAATGCTGCACATAATTCAATGGTGTGATTATCCACATTGTAAAGACAAGGGATTCTTCATTTAAGTTGCAGTCTTCCATATTGGCCCTCGTGACGATGGAGATACAGGTACGATAATATTTTCCCCATCACAAGCCATCTGCCAATTGGCGTACTACGAATACCGAATTTATGGTTGGGTGAACCTAAAAAAAACGACTTAAACCTCGAAGTATTTCTGCGTGAAGTTCAATTCTACAAATCGGTAAATTTCCAAAGAGCCATGTCACTAATATGAGTATCACAAGTTTTCCAAATTCTACCGGCATCAATTTGTGTGAAACTTGCAAAGTAATGTGTATAAAAGGAAACTCGCGAAACGTTGCATCTTCGCAGTTGAGCTGTCTCATAACGCCAAAACGCGCTGCGTCGATGCCTGTTACCCACATTCCCAACAGCCCCCCCCCCCCACAACCTCCGCCAAGCAGAGGTCGCAACCGGGTACCCGATACCTGTATCCTACCCGATACCCGGCTACCCGTACCCGGCCAGGTACGGGTACCCGTTTGCGACCCTGGTGCGGTCGGGTACGGGTAGGCCGTGAGTCACTGGTGAGTAACCGTTTGCCACTCATTTCGGTTCGGGTACGGGTAGGGAACGGATACCCGTACCCTGCTGGGTATGGGTAAGGAATCAAAACCCGTTTGCGATCTCTGCCGCCAAGGTCTCGTTTGCACCCAAGAGTGCACTCTACCCCATGCCCAACGCAAGCCCAGCCACAAAATTACAGACGAGCCGCGCCAAATTAAAAAAAGCATTGCGTTAATATTGTGTTGTACAACATTTGGCCTTGCCCATCTTTGAGGGCATTCAGCAAAAAAAGGGGGGGGGGGAAGAGCAGTAATGCACACACCTCCCTCATTGTTAACCCTTTCCCGTTAACGGTCATTTTATTTAGAGAGGCATAGCGTCATTGTTTTTAAAGACATTCTACTCACCCGCAAAGAACCGTAGCGACGCGACCACACTCTACGATAGCTGGCGCCAAACTGTGCCACACGCCCTCCCGCGTGGCCATGTGGGGTGGGGGGGGGGGGAGCCTCGGTACGTCTTCCGGAATCGTAAGAAAAACGTGTACGTCATCGGAAGAAAAGCGTATAACATACACCGATGACGTACGCATACGCACACGTACGTCATCGGAATGGGAGAGGGTTGAATAGTGCGAGTTCCGTGAAGAAAACATTTCGCTCTGCACCGAGACATTAACAGCATGACATATAATCGACCGAATAGAGACTAAAACAACACAGTCATTAGTTTGTTTAAATCAATAATATGAACAAGCGTATGCCGAGCACGAGCCTGCTGGTTTAAAGGCGCAACCCTAATGCACAAACGCCGCCCCCCCCCCCCCCCGTCTTGCTGATACATCCCGAGGTCGTGTGTCTACCAGCTGCCCAACAAATACGTACGGAGATATCTTCACGAGAATGTTCTTCACAGAATTGAGCCGGCCTTTAATTTTTTACGAAACAAAATTGCCGTCTCAACAAGTGGATAGTGTGAATTGTGTGAGCACTTTAACTAAAGTCAGTCTAGTTGATGACCACCTGTAGAATGTTATTTAAGTCTTACTCTACGGATTTCATCATTCAGTAAACAAATAAAACGCTGACAAATCCCCACGTTTGTCGTGAAATGGACTAAAAACGCTGACTAAATTAACAATGCCTGAGGGGACAGGCAGGCTGCCCTTGTATTCATAAGAGCTATTTGCTTTTTTTGGGGGGGGGGGGGGGGAATTCCCTTAACCACGCCGCGCGCAAGTGGTACGGATCGAAAGAGCGGGGAGTGGATGTGTGTGTGGCGTGCGGGGCAGAGTGTGCGTGACCGGTGCGAGGACGTGAGGAGCGAGAGAAGAGGGTGGGGGTGGCGGGCGCGGGGTGGGGGTGGCGGAAGGTTGGGGGGGTCGGGGTCAGGGGGCGGGAGAGTTGGTTCAGCTGCGGAAGCCGAAGATGCCCTTGATCATGCCCGTGAAGCCGCTGCGAGACTTCTGCTCTAGCTTGTCGTCGAGCGGCGGCAGAGCCACGTGGTTGAGCGCCAGGTCGAAGAACAGCGGCTTAACGGGCACGGGCTGGAACTCGGGCGGGAATGTCACCAGGTTGGGCTGCTTGCTGACGAGCGCCGGGTCCAGGCGGTACACGTCCAGCCGCTCGAGCAAGGGCTGGGGAGGAAGGCGACAGAGAGAGGAGGGCAGGGTTAGGGACGCCGGCCTGACCAACAGGCATTCACGACCCCTCGCCATTCAATGAATGGTCACAATTTGGGGGTCACAATTCGACTCAAGAATCTCCCTTGTGGTAAGGTCTCATGCGTAGCACCATCAAACTCATCTGCACCATCTACTTTTTTTTTCCCCATTACCCAAAAGGTCACATTTTGCATATGCATATAAATTGTAACTTTCAGATAAACTGTATGATGAATGCGATCGATCAAATGCCTGATCAGCATGGTGGGGGCAACCAACAACTCGTACACAGCAGAGCTCGACACTGCTTTGATATTGGCACATAGGGATAGCATCACTTTTACACTAAAAACATTGACAATGGCTCGGTTTTATGGACACCAATGAACTACAAATGGTAGTGCTGTACCTATTAAATATACGATAAGAGAACACACTGATGAATCGTGGCTTTCGCCGCCAATATTACATTTGCTGCAGATCCTTACTTTGTTATCCGAAACTTCCAAAGCCGCCATGCGATCGCCAATATCGTCAGAGTCTGCGAAGAACAACAACAAACGAGCGAAAGAGTTAAGTGGCAGCCACCTGGTGGCATGCCGTTAACGTAACCACTGTAGCCGGCTCGCCTCTCGGTAGCCGCATGTGGGACTCGGGCTTTAAAATCGCAAACGTTTGCTCGCTTCACGATCTTGGCGCAGTAGGGATCGGTCACAAATAAAAGCGACGTCTGAACTGCACTCAGCACCCACATTCGTACGATGCGAAAAAGGACACACGCCCACATACACATTTTTTCAACTCGTAGGCACAAATGTCAGATGTGCCTGGGTCAAAATGACTTTTTTGATGATAATAATAATAGTTCAATTTGTAACGCGCGCAAATTTGCAGACGTAGTGGCCGCAACTCAGAGGCGCGGAGCCAAGCTCAGAGTCGCTCGAAAGCATGATTGTAGAGGTGAGTTTTTAAGCGTCTCTTGAAGGAGGCGATTGAGGTGATGCTGCGAATGTGCAGAGGGATATCGTTCCAGACTGTTGGGGCTGCCACCGAGAAACGGCGCATAGACGTGACCATCCTGGATCTTGGTATCAAGAGGAGGTCGTGAGTCGCTCCCAACTTTGGACGAGAACAAATAAACAAAGCCAGCAAAGGCGTTTAAAAGGTACGCAACATTGTACTTTCAAAATGGGCTTGGGTTGCGCCAACCGTAGTTGAAAATGGGTGTCCATACAATGTTGTTAAAAGTAAACAGTCTCCCTACTTTTGCTCTTGCAAGATAATAAAGCTATGCAACTTGTTCCGAGCCAGTGACCACCTTACGGCTGTACAATCTGTAACCCACATCAAGGGCACACACAAATAGAATCACAACGTAAAATAAGCGTCTCGAAACGGAGAAGTGTGGTGATCACATTAGGAGCACTGGCTGGGATAATGTCTTTGCCTCGTCCAGTATTACCCACAAGGACATGCAATTTAGAACGTGTGTTTCGCACTTCATATAACAGCGCCTCATAAGGAAGAGTATATTAACAGGTGATCTTCTTGGTTCTTTCGGTAAAGTCACGTAGAAGGGAAATAATAAAATAATAAAAATAAAACATCATAAAATAATTCTCACGACGTTTCGGCCACAACGCAAGCAGCCATCCTCAGGTAAAGAACAGGTCTGTCGGGAAGACAGCGTCTGAACAGACCTGTTCTTCACCTGAGGACGGCTGCTTGCGTTGTGGCCGAAACGTCGTGAGAATTATTTTATGTTAAATTTTTATTCTTTTATTATTTCCCTTCTACGTGACTTTACCGAAAGAACCAAGAAGATGAATCCCTGCAGTCACGAAAGCTTTAAATCGAAATTTAACAGGTGATGTTTCAGACAATGGCCCTTCTTTGCAGCACATGAAATTCGCGCGCAAAAAGGACACACGACGAATGTGTTGACATTTTTTTGTTGCGTGCCACTGCAAAAGCAACATTACCGTACACGTTATTTATCACATACTGCACTTCGTGCGGCGGATTTTGCGGATAAAACTAAAAATGGGACCGTGATGGTGGCAATTCTTCTGCACAGACAGTCTGGATAGCACTTACTGCTGCACCCCCTCTTGTCAGTGGCACAGTCGGTGGATGTGAGTATACGTTGCTTCGTGACATAAGTGCTGTCAAAAGGTTTAGCGGCGCACGGCAGAAGCACTTTTACCGAGTATCGCTGTCGCTTGTATCGAGTACTTCTCGGCGTTTATGGAGTTGATCAGCTCTTCCAGTTCATTCTGATCCTAAACGCAGGTATGCCAAAGCAAAAGCATCAATGCAAGCATAAAACAATGCAAGGCAGTTATCAAAATACAGTAGGCAATGCAGAGTAGGGCTTCCCAAACTTCACTTCTGTTCCGAGTGTCGAGGCAAGTGTTGGTGTATCACGCAAATGACTAACTCGCAAAAATGCACTGCGCTTCTGAAGCAGCCGGGGACATGGCAACACAAGTGGGGGGGGGGGGGGGGCGGGGATTCATGAATCTGTCTGTGTGGACCGTTGAGTTTTAAATCCTGGGTTTGCTTTGGGTACGCAGTATTTTTTTTACTCCACATGCAAAGCAATGTTCAAAAAGGAGTTTGCTAAATTCTGGCCAAGGTGGCTCAGAGGTCACGGCGCTGAGGTGACACCACGGGGATCGTCGTGGGTTCAAATCCCGGCAGTCGCCTCTGCTTAAACCGGGTTCTCAAGCCTAGCAAACTAATGGTCTCAGCCCCATGGCCAATGACCGCACACAAAAACCATCCGCTTAAATTTGTACTTAATTTGGCAAAATTCCAGCTCTGAGAATTAAAATATCGATGAAGGAGATGCGAGTACAGTATGCTCATATGCAGAATGGGTGGGAAAGTGCTGCACTGTGTACTAATGTATGGACCAGAGGTCACTTTGAAGGGAACTCGGGTAGTTTTGCGCGGTTATCCAGAAGCAAACTTCCTCTCATCACATAACATAATGGCGATAAAACTGAGGAAAACATTGCAGGACACACAAAACAGTGAATTTACCCAACACCCCAAATACAGGACTATACGATTAAAACAAGCCTCGAGACTTGACAAGGTTTTCCCCATCCCCCTCCCCCCCCCCCCCAACAACGAATGGCAGTGGCTGCCCCGGTGGTCTCGGTGCTCATCACTCACCATATTGGGGCAGTTGCTCTGGGCGCAGGCGGCCTGCGCCTCCCTCGCGTACTTGAGGACGCGCTCAAACAGCGCCAGCCCCTCCGTCCACTTCTTGGCCGCCAAGTACGACTGTGCTATAAAGTAGCACCTGTGGACACATGCACGCAAACACACGTGAACACAACATTCACACCTGCTTGCACACTATCATTCGTAGCTCCAAGGAGTATAACTTGACACTAAGATGATGATGATAACAAGGATTGCAATTCTACGATTAAAGAGACCATCTAGCAAATGAGCCGATTATTTTCCACACCTATGACTAGCACAGTTGGCTACGTACAGTGCAAAAAAAGTTCAACGTACATTCATATAAGATGTTGGCATGAGCTGCCAAGTAGTCTGTCTTAGTGGTGAGTGTACTCGCCACTAGTTTATATAGTCCACAATTCAATTCCTGCAGCAGGCAGGTAATATACTGTAAGTATATGCGCGCAGTAGGTGCGCAAAGCATTTGTCATCTTGACAAATGATGTTTCGTTTTACAGCACACGTGTTTCTCTGTTCATAGGGGTTCCCTGTGGCAGAAGAGAACACCGCCATGTTAAAGGGAAACAAAAGACACCATCAACTGTAATGATGATGACAATGAAGGCGACAGCAGACAGTTTGGCCGCTGTGGCGTCTGCCACTTCTGCTACCGTTAGTGCTGCTGCTGCTACCGCTGCTGCTACCACTACTACTACAGCTGCTACTGCTGCTACCACTACAGCTGCTACTGTTGCTACCACTACAGCTGCTGCTGCTACCACTACAGCTGCTGCTGCTACCACTACAGCTGCTGCTGCTGCCACTACAGCTGCTGCTGCTGCCACTACAGCTGCTGCTGCTGCCACTACAGCTGCTGCTGCTGCCACTACAGCTGCTGCTGCTGCCACTACAGCTGCTGCTGCTACAACTACAGCTGCTGCTGCTGCCACTACAGCTGCTGCTGCTGCTGCCACTACAGCTGCTGCTGCTACCACTACAGCTGCTGCTACAACTACAGCTGCTGCTGCTGCCACTACAGCTGCTGCTGCTGCCACTACAGCTGCTGCTGCTGCTACCACTACAGCTGCTGCTGCTGCTACCACTACAGCTGCTGCTGCTGCTACCACTACAGCTGCTGCTGCTGCTACCACTACAGCTGCTGCTGCTGCTACAGCTGCTGCTGCTGCTACAGCTGCTGCTACCACTACAGCTGCTGCTGCTACAACTACTGCTGCTGCTGCTACCACTACTTCTGCTGCCGCACCTGAAGGCCTTGTAAGCCGATTTCTTGTTATCGAGAGATCGCCACAGGTCCGGATCGGCCTCCATGCCGGGCAGCAGCTGCATCTCGTTCAGGCTCTGCAGGATGAGCTCGTAGAGGCGGATCAGCTCCTGGGGACGCGGCGCCTTCCTGCCGTCGTCAACGGCGCCTCGGCTGAGCCGGCGGCGCAGGGCGCGCGCCATCACCACGTTGCGCTCCACCGTGTTGCTCAGCTTTATGAACGTCAGGTAGCTGCACTCCCGGATGAATACATGCGCAGGGTCACCACGGCTCAATCGTTCTTGTTTTAAAATATTTGAGAAATAAAATGTTTCTTGTAACTTCTCCCCCCGCCACCCTGCCCAATTCCCACCGCACTATCGGCGTCATGTTACAAGACAAAGTATAAAAGTATCCATTCAGTTGTTTCGCAGAGCAGTGCAACCCCGGCGCAAGGAAGCAGATATCGTAGCGCTCCCTTCAAGTGACCTCTGGTACCACAGCAGAGGGCAGCACTTTACCACCTGCTCTGTATATGAGAGTAATTTTTTGGCAGAAGACAAACTGATATTTTAATTATCAAGAGATGGAATTTATCAGAACCAAGTGCGGAACCACATTTTTTTATGCGATAGATTTTTTTTGTCCAGTCATTGGTGACCGGCTAAGACTATTAACTGGCTACATTTGAAATCCCGGTTTTATCACGTGCAGCTGTAACCTGGATTCGAACTTAGGATCTCAGCGGTGCCACGTCAGCGCTGACCCGACCCACCGGACCCCCAATTGCTAAACTATATTTATTTGACCAGGTAAGGCACACTGAGCTATACAGCTCTTTTTCAGATGCGACCTGGCCACAAATGAAAGCTCAACGAAGTGGCTTATCGTGTGGAAATGTAAAGCAGCCAAATACTCAAAAAGCGTGTATCTACATGTGGAGGGAAAAACCGGAGGACCCGTAGAAAAAATCCACACGGCCACGGGGAGAACATGCAAACTCCAAATATACAGCAGCAGGCGTCAGGGTTAGCATCGAACCCACAACCTCCTGCATACCAGGCAAGGTAGTTAACATCTCAGCCACCATGGCAATTGCACTGTCCGCACCTGGCCAAATAATGAACCATTATTATACCACAGATCCCCCCTTTAGACACTCTAGAATGACACAAGACAAATTAGTGAAGATAAAAACAGATAGATTAAAGGCAAACATGTCACAAAAGACAGCCTGTGTTATTGTGCAATAAACTTGTTTCAGATACTACCTGCAGATGAAAAAATTAAGAACTTAACCGAAGCAGGTTAAACATAAGCTTCTGAAATATACATCGGCATACATGGAAGTGGGAAAAATCGCAAAAGGAAAAAAGCGCGTTAATTTTCTTTCCCCCTACAATTGACGATATTTGAACTCTTTGAAGAACGAGGAGCATTGCAAGCTTACAACTATTTCCCGACAGTACATCTCTTAAAAACCCCTTCGCCGAATGCCTTCCAAGTAAGTGCACCCCCACACGCAATTCAAAAGCAATATTCAACAACATCACGACTCGTGCTTTTTATTTCCATTACGTCCAGCACAAGTAAACGCAAGGAAGGCTTCTTTCGTGAAACACTTTAAATCGCCTAAATTGATGTTCGCCAACTAAATTGCATATTGTTGGGAGTTTGTAAAAAAAAAGAAAAGAGGCTTTGAAACGTTCGTGTTCACCTTGCTCCTTATTCTGGGAAAAGATGAAAATATTGAACATTTGCAATTTTAGTTTTCTGAAGTCTCAAAGCTAATAAGGTATTCTGTCTACTCTTCCACCCTGGCCGGATGTTTTCGAAGAGGTGGGAGCATCCACACTCTACCCTCCACCGCACGCAGACCTGCTGAGCGATGACCTGCGGTGTAACCCACTGACACTGCTGGGTAGACGGACGCGGCGGTGGAGATTTAAAAGACTTGCTCATTGCCGGGAGCCCGATCCGTCGACCCCTGGATTGCTCCAGAAATCCAGTGTGGTAACCATGACAACCATGAACACCCGATGCCGTCAGCTGTCTCGGCACTATTTTGTTCGCAGCTTCTGTGTTGTTTTCAACGCTTCGGGCCAATGCACAACAGGGAGTGGGGGGGAGGGAGGTCGTTACCTATGTAGGTGTTGCAGGTTCGAGTTCTTTCCTGCCTCCGTTTCTCGTTCTCGCTGTTTCTGCGTCCACGTGCACACAAGGACAAAGATCCTCCGTATAGCCTCCGCAGACTTTTGGGGCAAGTGCTGTTATAGCGGGCTCCCATGAAGGCCGGCACGGCACAAGGGAGTGGGTGGCCAGCACCATGCTCAGGCCGCCTTTGTCTCCCTAGGACCCATTCAGATAATCGTCACTGGTGTTAGCAGTAAGCGGAATTCTAAATTGGGTTGCCGGGTTCGTAACGCAGTGCGCGAGGCGCTACACTAACGCTCCCCACGTGCGCACACACGCATACCCACATGCATCAAACAATTTACAACATGGGCACAAGTGCAAATATGATTGTGGGCTAGAAAAACTTAACGAGTTAACGACACAACAACAAATGGAAGCTGCTTTGCAAAGACCATAAACGTCGCGCATTTTAACTGTTGAAATGCGTTTTACTATTAGACGATTCAAATTATGCTCCAAGGTACACAATGCTTCTCTACGTTATGTTTTTTAACAGATTCCCTTGGTTTCTGTTTAAGGCAGCAAAAATGAGAAAACGACATCTTATTTTAAAGGCCGTCTCCCGCCAATCTCAATATATTTTTAATGCTCTCATTTGTAAGAAAATGGAACTGTTATTTTCCCAATGCTCATTCAGCTGTTGAAAAGAGGATTGCAACATAACAGTGGAGTGTATATAAATTGATGTGCATGAATGCATTCGGGAGGAGTATCAGATTACATTTTTTAAATATCAGAATTTCAGATATTTTCAGTCCAATTTTGAATTCGAATGTATATTCTACTTTTGTATTCAAATATATAGTAAACAGTAATAACTTTCATAGTTCATGCATTCAATATAATCATATCATAATTTTTTACAGAAAAAATCACCGACTTTTGCATTTTAATCTAATGTTCCAAAAGTAAAACAGTCAATTTAATATGACATCACATGATGGCTACTCTGGTGGAAAAGCCATGGAAACGATGTCGTTTAAAATGTTGTCGTGTAAATGTTGTCGATGCATGTGACATCACATATTATGATCAATTGGATCCAAAATGTCACATTTAGGCCCAGTTTTGGAATTCATATTAAACTCGGCAAGACATCAGTAGAAGACTGTGGCCACACGGGATGCGCGAGAGCGGATCCGTGTTCACGTGCTAACGTGAACGCATTACACGTGCGCATTTGCATGGAAAATTTACTTAAATAAACAAATGCATACACATGCAACGCACATGTATAATGCATTGACATTTGTATATCCATCACAGTTGGCTACATACGGTGCGAAAGAAGTTCAACACGCACGTGCATTGCATGAAATATTGCGCGCACTGCATATTGCACTGCACAAATACAAAGCACACCGCGCGTTCTTATACATTGCAGTGAACGACGCTTTGGAGTAAAAGAAAACTGTGACGGACGCTGCACCGCTGTTACCGGGTCGAGCTTCAGCTCCTCCCGCACGGCGTGGATGGCGTCGCGACACTCGATGAGCAGGCTCTCGTAAAGCTGCTCCTTCCCGTCCTCCTTCTCTGCCTGCACTCGCGCACCCACCAGCAAAGGGGGAAGAGCGGTGCCAAGCGCAATCAGTCGTTGCGCTCTAGTCGACTCCTGCGCTCGGCGGCACGCCGCTTGGTGCGTAGCCGCTGAAGACGAAGGCTGCTTCGCTCGGCATCAATGGAAACTCCCCCCACGATGACCACGGTGGGGGAGCTTGCAAAAAAACGATGGGCCGGAATATCAGCACAGAAAGCCGCGTAAAATTAGCTGTGTTTGAACATCGATCGATTGCTCTATTGACATAGAAATCAGGACACCATCTTACGCCATGCGGTAGCATGGCCAAGCGGTAGCGCGTTTGCCGACTGTTGTGGAGGTTCGTGGTAACGAGCTCGGCGGGCACCCTTGGTTATTACTGCGGTTGTATTACTCATGAACGCGAGACGCCATCTGCTTCACAGTGGATGCTAACGATCCCGTGATGTTTTTTCCGAATTGATGAGTAGGCCCAGTTGTGCAGGTGTCACCGTCCAAAATCTACCCAATTCGAAACCTTAACTGCAAATTACATTATCGGGTAAAACCACACAGCAGGATCAAGCCCCAACCGGCAAGACCAGTCGATAACATTGTACTATTACAGGGGTCTGCAACGTAAATAACAAGAGCCATTTTTTTCCAATTAATTAAAAATCTCACGATTTGAAGAGCCACAATGCACGTGAATACGTCACAAAGCGGTCCTTAAAGAGCCGCATGCGGCTCTAGAACCGCAGTTTTGCCGACCCCTGCGCTAGAAGAATGGTGCAAACACAAAATGATGAAATGATGATTATCCTACGAGCTGGGGCGTGAATCGAGGGTGGGCCATGGGAGCCGGGAGGGGGCGAGGGAGCCAGCGGTGGGGGCCGCGTGGGCTGCGTGGATCGCGGGGGCCGCCGTCACCTGTGCGATGGCTGCCTCGCTCTCCTCGAGGCTGAGCAGGAAGACGCGCACGCGGTCGACCTTGACGGGCACCGTGCGGCCGCACCACGTCACCTCGCTCATGCTCGTCGACTGCTTGGCACGCATCTGAGCCAACAGCACCTGCAGCCCGGCACAACACCACGGGGAGAACATGCAAACTCCAAATATACAAGCGTCAGGGTCGGGATCGAACCCACAAGCTCCTGTATACCAGGCGAGGTAGTTAACACCTCGTCACACACAATGAACTCTACCACTGGCATTGCTTGGCCCCAAGTTAGATGCAGATGCCTTATTGGATCGAGGTATTACAGTTTGTTTTCCGACCTGGCTTGGCAAATAGCGAGTGGAAAACCTCCCATCAGTATGAGGGCCCCATGGTGGCTTGGATTATATGTGCCAGTGTAAAAGATATATTGAAGGAAGATGCAGCCATAAAACAAACAGTGCTTGTAGATACGTAGCTACACTGTGTTTCGGGCTGCCCAAAACCAGCTTGAAGCTTCACGAAGGAGCCAAAACACTTCATAACCTTGGTCAGATGCTTTTTCATAGCATCGGAGCACTGTACCTGAATGTTGCAGTTACCCGTATGGGCAACGAGCATCATAAATTTATCTTACTTATAAATCTACTAGACAAGTGACGCTAGAGGTGCGGCAGCCAGCCATGTCACAACAGTATCGTACACATCTTGTGAAAATAAAGTGCACGAATCCAGACGCTCATTACGTCCACAACTCACCTCAAGTTTTTCTGTGAGCATGCTGCTACTGTCACCAGATTTCAGGCGCATTTGCAACAAATCCCCAATCGCCGACTGGTCACCTGTGCAAACAAAAAAGTAGGGCCCGCTGTTAACGGACGCTGTGACACAATGGTGCAAATCGCGCTCGGAATCCTCCCATTCAGCCAGAAGGGTGGACCGTCGTCAATAAATCATAAACATCCACCATCTATCCACTGCTGGACGGAGGCCATGCCACATCATCGACGCCACTCGCCGTCTCTCCGATGCCACGACCCATCTTGTTCCTGCGTGCCATGCGAGTTAACCCCGTCGCTCCTTCTCCAGCAGTGGTTATCCTCTTGGAGGCGTTTGCTCATTTGGGCTGCCGCTCCTGTCACCAATCGCGATTTGCACCTGGCACAAGCCCACTTCGTTTTTTTTTTGTCAAAATGTGAGATGTACGATTTGTATTTTTTCAGTGTTGGCCCCTGCGTAAGTTTACGATATTCTGCACATTTAGCATTTCCCCCCCCCAAGCCAAAAAGCTGCCGTGTATTCGGAGAGGAAACACAAAAACTCAATGTCCTCTACCAGGAGGGCGACCGAGCGCAGTAAAGTCGCCACCGCTTTCCCTGCACAAAAATCTTCCAGCAATGAAGCCCTTCAGATCGACAGAAACATTCCTCTTTTTCGGAGAAAGTTTTGGTTCTAATTTACCAGGGTATCTGATCGAAGTGATCAACTGTGTCGTCTCACTCACGCCTGTCTTCACAACTACCACCGCACTGCAGGTCACGGCACTTCTCAAGTGCAGCAACTGTGATTTTTAGTTTTTGGAGTAACTAGTGCACCGTCAGGTCAAGTTACAAGTGACCTTGCTCTCTCTTGCGCCACAAAGAATGCCGCTGACGAGTGACGAAGCCGCCCATCAATCTGTGCTCAGAGCATTCCCAGCCATGTTGTGCCGAGCCTACCCCCTTTCTCTCCATGTACTTTGCAGGGTCGTAAAGGGACTAGGGTGACAATAAATGACGATAAGGCAACAATAAATGGATGATGCCACCATGTCATTAAGCAGTCCTCGATTGCTTCAACATCCCCGCTTTCATATGGCACCTTTAGCAATGCACCCTCTCAATAGGTGAACTCAATAACAATTTTTATCATCTTCAGCTTAAAATAGAAAAAACGCCCAACAAAAGCATTTGATCATTACCATGGTGACAAGCAATTGCGCCTCGGTGTACAAAATTAGATATAACTATCGGCACGGACAGAATCAACAGCAACGGACAGAATCGGCAGCAAAAAAAAAACGCGTAATTATCTTAAAAAGCATGCACTGTGGAAGTGCTCTATTTTAACACAGAAGGCAACAATAAAGGAAAGCAGCCGGTGAGAGTAAAGCACACTCGCGTGATTCACCACCACGCCAGATTTTGAACGTGAACAATAAAGGTCCATTTAAATTCACAGCTAAATTTAACTCGCTCACAACAGGGCTTTTCTTCACGTCCCCCACAAGGCAGGTCCATAATTTTTGTGAATTACTTTTCACTTGGCGTGCGCTGCCGCCGTCAATTACAAGCCATTTCACAAAGATTACTCGGCATGCTCATTCACGCAGCTGGTGGCTGGTGGCGAGTGGGGTGGTCGGAGGAAGGGGGAGGACGAGGGGGGAGGGGGCAGCAAGGGAAGGGAGTCTCATTTGAGGTGAAGCCACGGACGGGATCTGCGATGTACGTGGCCCTTACCGATGTTGTAGGCGCAGTAGCGCAGGTTGGGGGAGATCTCCTCGACCCGCTGGCGATACAGCACAGCCTGCTCGTCTGAGAAGGCGCTGGCCAGCTTCTCATAAATGGTCCTGAAGGCATGACATGCGTGCGCGCACGGTCAGTGGAAAGAGCAAGACAGACGCTGCTGCCCGTTCATCCTTGGCGCCATATCAATTAATCACTTGAAGAAATATTTTTTTAGATATTTTTATCAAGTACAGTAATTAAAAGTCGTATTAAAATGTGATTCGGTAACGACGATGATGATTGCGTTATTTCAATAAATGATGGCTGATTTGGATGATGATGATGCATCATTCCCACCCTCCTCGACCTCTGGTCCCGGAGCCATTATTTATTTATACAAATCACCTGAAAATTGTACGCCGACTTTATTTTATTACACCGCGATAATAGATTGGTAAGCGGAATATCTCGGTCTTCATCTCTTGCAGACAATACAACCAAGTGCGGTAAATTTTGGTGGTAACGCATCATAGCATAGATGTTAATGTCAGTAAATGTCCAACAGATGAATCCCTCTTCATAAACCCATTTGTAGATGGAGCTGTACGCACGCCTCTAGTGATTACAAAGTCAGTGTCAAGTTTTATTGCCGTATTTAATTCGCCCCGATGGTCTATAACAGGGATCAAGATGAACGTAGTGAAAATTATTCCATTGAAACAAAAGTTTCCATACAGTTGTGTCACTATTATTAGGGGCTTACCCTACGTACAAAAAACAACACAATTGCTCAAAAGGTTGCTAAGAAACCTTGGCTATAAAAACCCATCGCTAAAAGGATAAGCCTCAACAGCCAAGGCGCTTTAGTTGAGCCAAGGGGACCCTCAGTGACAGCTATCCCTGCGCAACACAAGGCAAAAGCAGCATCGGCCTGCAACGCAAAACCAAATCCGTGCGCACGGCTTTTCTCCGGCGCATTGGCTCACCTAATGTGTGTTCCCCCCATCCACTGACTTACTTGCAGCTGCCAAAAGACTCCATGGCTTTCGTCCAGTCTTGCTTTTCAAACCTCAGCATGCCAGCCATGTACGCAGCGTACGCCTGTCAAGACGGACAGATGCAGAAATTAAGCATTTCGTACAGATTCAATTTTAATGTACAATTTTTATTGAGTGACTGTGTGTTGTCTTAGTGTAATCTGGGACTGTTTTTGCTGTTGTTTTACTGCCTTACTGAAGCAATTTGAACTTAAATTATTGATTTAATTATGGGGCACCACAGTGGTGCGGTCCTACTCGCCCGGTATGCAGATGGTCGGGGGTTTGACCCCGACCCTGACGCCTGTATATTTGGAGTTTGCCTGAATATTTGGAGTTTGTGTGTTCTCCCCGAGGTCGCCTGGATATTTTCTCTGGGTACTCCAGTTTTTCCCTCCACATTTAGAAACATGCAATGAGATTATTAACATTATTTTAGTGCTATAAATGTCCAAATGAGCGCATTCTGCACTCCGGCCCCTCGCTTGGTACCTGCGCCTCGAGCTTGGTGCGGGCGTCGATGCGTTTGCCCTCGCACAGGCGCTCCAGCGCCTCGGCGTGCTTGGCCGCCTTGCGCAGGCGCGACACCAAGTGGAAGCGCTTGCGAGGCTCCGTGTTGGCCTCCTGCTTGAGCTGCATGGCATAGCTCCACGCGCGCTCCGCACTCATCAGCTCCAGCAGCAGGTACCTGCAAGCACATGCGCAGACACACGCGCGCTCCTGTGGTGCTCCAATTATGGTCATAAAAACTATCAACCATTTTTTTTTAACAGGGCTGGCCCTCTTGAGCTATGTAGCTCTTTTTCAGAAGCAACCTGGTGACAAATGATAGCTCAACGAAGTGGCTCATCACGTGGAAATTTATAGCAGCCAAATGCTCTGAACGCATGTCGATTCTAAATGTGGAGGGGAAAAAAACTGAGAAAAATCCACGCCACCACGGGGAGAGCATGCAAACTCCGAATATACAGGAGTCAGGGTCGAGGTCGAAACCAAGACCTCCTGTATACCAGGCGAGGTAGTGAACATCTCGCACCACAACAGCTGATTAGGATTTCTTTTTACATTGTGCGGTATATGCCAGGACGTCTCAATGGCACTTTAAATCACATCCCAAACATGTGAATGGGCACCCTCAGTGACAACTTTCCCTGTGGGCACAAGACGACTCCTCAGCACCTTGCCTGCAAACGGACAACAGTCTGCCAGCAGTGGGCGATGATTGCAATGTATATTCCGAATTGAGTAATTTGCAGGCAACTTTCAAATTTGGCGAATTTGGAGCCTGACGTCAGCACACAATGGCCTATTCTTGATGATGTGGATGACAAGATGTCACATTCAGCAACGCTCACCGCGGGTCTTTGAGCAACTCCACAGTGACCTTGCGCCCAGTGTACTTGTGGCGATTCCCCATTTTGAAGTTGAGAGCTTTTCTCAGCCTCCGGAGCCGTCGAGAGCAGTAGCCCCTGCAACAATTCATAGGAAAATATCGAGTTAAAATCAATGAAACCTTCATTTTAGATGGCATGTGCGTCCAGATAACTTGTGGGGTGTCGTGGCACTGCTTAATCTATCCAACTGGAATTATCATTTCTATTTTAATTTGTAGTATTATTATAAGTTTTCACAGTGGGTGCAGGAATGGTTAGCGTGCTGTGCTAAGAATTCAGCGACCCAAGTTCGATTTCCCAAACGCACGGACTCGTGGTGTGGTGAAGCATGATGAACTAAACTCAAAGCCTACATGGCATAGGGGAGGCCTCCATCCATTGGCTGGATTGTAAATGGCTGGAATGTATTTATTAGTCTGGATTATAATAAGCACTCTTCTCCCCCCCCCCCCCCCCCCCCCATTTTAAATCGAAAGTTGGGTGTACATTTAATAATCTAGTGTCCTTGTGTGTGTGACAAAAATGATTTCTATTACTTTATGGATGCCAGACACAAGTTTGGGGCGAATCTTACAAAGCAGAGAAACGTGTGGGGGGGGGGGGGGGGGGGAATGCACTATGGATGTTTACATGCTTGCCGTGTAGAGCTTTGAGATCCTCGTGGTATATACATTCCAACTATCATTACAGACACTGACATAAAGTCAGGGCGGTAAAAATGTAGCAGACGCAAGTAACATGCAACACATCTGTGTGTGGTGTGCGAGTACCTGTAGCGCTGGTAGTCTCCATGACGCAGCCCATGCTGTTGCTGTGACTCCTTTATAATTTGCAGGACTGCCACGCTGGGTCAAGGTGTTGACAACCATTTATATCGTGCGGCGAACCCGATAATGGCCACAAACACATTTTGTAATAAAAGATTCTCAAACAACAAACAGCAACGTTGTAAGCGTTAAAAGTTACCTTATTATAAGTGTCTCCTAATCTGTACAAAAAGGTGAAGGTACAACCCTGCAATTACTTGCCCACGCCACTGCTGGCAGAAGAGCTTCTACGGCGGCAAAATTCTAGAGGGTATTTGTTCTACTCTGCCGTGTTGACCGGGCGTGTTGGAATAGGTGGGCGTACCCACACTTTACCCTACCACAGGTGAGCTGCTGAGTGAGTGATGTACCCGTGTACACTGCAGGGCAGACAGGTGGAGGAGAGGGGCATTTCAGAAACTTGTACCATTGTTTAAAGTGCTGCGCCGAGAGGCTGGCTACCTCTGGATTGCAAATCCAGAATGCTAACCATTAAACTACTATGGCAGCTCCAATATGTATAGCCATGTGAAAAACCACTTGGTCAACATGTGTTATTTTGCATGGGAAACACGCAACGTGCAGCCTTGTACAAGGCAAGCTACAATCGATGAAAATAAAGTCCACACACTCAACATGGCATATACCACTACGGGAAGGAAACCACTTTCATATTAACCCTACTTTGTAAATTCAGCGTTGCAGGCGGGGAGCATAGACATCGACGCACAGTACAGTACAATGGATGTTGTGCACTGCCCTATGCTGGCACTAGCTGCTATATAGGGTAGAATTTAACAATGAAATTCATATTCATAGAGCAAGCTGAAGTATGACCACATCTCATATTATACAAATCTGGGGGTAATGTGCACATCTGTAGAGTGTGAGGGCTGGCCAGATTTTAGATTGACACGACGTTAGGGTACAAGTGGAGTATTTTCACGAAATGTAATTTGGCAATGAAAAGCAACGTCAGTGTACCCAATGGAGGAATTTTTCATTTGGCGCATTTCACTTGCCCCTGACATATGGAGTCAGACGCATTGGACACCGACAAAAACGATGGAACGGAAGCTGAAAAGTAGCACGCAGAAAAAGAAAAACAAATTCGTAACCAGCACAAATCTCGCACATCAGACAATTGTTCAATCATAAACTCCGAACAAAGAAATTTGCATTCTTGGAATGACACTGAGAGACGGGAAAGAGAAATTCGCGGACCGGAGAACGCAACTCGGAGACATCGTAACTGCGGCCAATAAAAGTCTGGTGACCATACGGTTTAAACAAGCGCTCCTACATGTACGACAGTCATTTTAATGTCCAATGGTAAATTCAGGAAATATTTAGAGAAGTTAACAGGGGCTTACACGTTGGGCTCAGGATATCTGTCACAGCTAAGACACACCGTTCTGGAACAGCAGAAAATATGAACCTCAGCTAATTTAAAGCTTACCACAATCAAAATGAAGAGGCGGACCAGAGCAAGTTGGAGTGCTTTTAAGGAAGCGCGGGGAGGCCTTTGTGTGTAGACTGACAGAAGCGCTGCTCTTCATATGGACCATCAGCAGCTGAAATCACACCTCGCATCTCATTGCTACCAATGTTCAACTTCTTTAGCGCCGTGCTAATCGGAGGCGCTCCAAACGAGGGGGGCCGGGTAGGGTGATGGGTCCCGTCAAAAGCTCGTAAAGCCAAGCAAGATGTGTGGGGGGTGCTGAGAGTTGGGGGGGGGGGGGTCAGCCACGTACGCCTGGGACAGCGCTTGTGTTGAGCAGCCACCATCATCACCGCGCGTTCAAAACGTGCGCAGTGCGAGAGAGACACACAAAATCCCATTCCCATTCCCAAGCACCGAACCCGCACGCAACCAGCGCGGTTGAGAACCGATTCGAGGGGCGATTTCGTCCTTCCAGACCGCCCCACCTCGAGGTTAGCGGCGCGGTCGGCGACGTACGGCGCGAAAGAAGTCCAACCACACCGTACACACACAGGACCTCGCTTAAGTCCAAAAAAATTAACCCGTAAAAAGAAAGTTTTTCACTATAAATACTTTATATGCGTGGCGGCTAGAGTCCTCTCGTCCTCTGGCTTGAGATGGCTGCCACCTATGGGTCAGATGATTGCCTGCCACCATTAAGCAATTGGTAATTAAATATAATTTATTTTTCCTATAAAGTGTAAAAATTAGGAAAAAAAATTTTCACTAAAATAAATTGTCACGCACAACGAGTCTGTGTGCAACATGTCAGCTCGATTGGATCACGGGAAGTGGGTTAAAAAACGACCGAAAGATTTGCACGGTCGTAAGCGCGCAAGCAAGCAAGCCATGTGAACTTAATATAAAGGATTTTTTTAAAAAAAACGAAAGAAGGCTCTATCCGACAGATTGCTATAGAGGTTAACGTCGTGACACATGCCAACAACGTTCCGCGCGTACCGGACCGAAGCCACACCGACTCGCGAAACGAAGAAGCCGGCCCGATACGGGACGGGTGGCAAGCGGCGCGTACAGTGGACGCCCCATTCATATTACGTGGCTTGGCCAGCAGCGGGTTGGGTCACGTGCGAAACGCTTCTGGAAGCGGCTTTTGTCGCGATCGCCACGCAACGCGACGTACAAGTGTGGGGGACGGGCGGGCGGCGGCGAAGGATACTCTCCAAGGTGAGCGTAGCCGCCTCCGCCTCGGCCAAAGCGGCCGCCGCCGTCTCCTCAGCGCCAGCGGACGCCATCACGGGGACCCCGGTTGGAGAGAGAAGGTGGAATCGATTCGCACCGATTGAAATTAATCGCGAACGCCGATTCCTTAGTCTCGAGGCGTGGGTAGGAGGACGAATCGATTCTTGGATCGGATCGGATCGGGCGCGCGCTTGTTCAACAGCCGCGCGTTTGCGTGGCGCACGATTCGACGTGTCGATTCGTTGGGAGTCGCGAGGCGTGTGGGCATCATGATGAATGCATCCCATGTCAGATTTGAAGCTTTCGTGACTGCAAGGATTCATACTCTTAGGTTTTTTCGGTAAAGTCACGTAGGTAAAAATAAAATAAATATTAAAAATTATAGAAATAATAATAATAGAAATATTATTTCAAAATAAATAATAAAAATATTAGAAATAATAGAAATATTATTTCTATTATTTATTTTTATAATAAAACCTAAGAGTATGCATCCCTGTCAGCCCCCTTTGTCAGTTGCCCTACCTTATTACAGACCAAGTCAGACCTTATTGGTCGCCCCTTGCCCTTATACATCTCAACGTTCATCCTATACAGTCTCATCACAAAGAGAGAAACTCAGACAACAAAATCTAGTTTTGTTTTATTAACTCATAATTTTTTGTGTGTACTCATACCTGTCAACCCCTTATCAGTGCCTACCTTATTACATACCAATTCAGACCTTATTGGTCCCCCCTTGCCCTTATACATCTCAACGTTCATCCTATACAGTCCCATCACAAGGAGAGAGACAAACAAAAAAATCCATACTCTTTGGTTCTTTCGGTAAAGCCACGTGGGTCGTTTTTTCTTGCTGTGGTTGTCCCACCTGATGACGATTGCTTGTGTTGCGATCGAAACGTCGTGATCTATTGTTTTTCTACCCACGTGACTTTACCGAAAGAATCAAAGAGTATGGATTCCTGCAGTCACGAAATCTTCAAAATAAAAAAAATCTAGTTTTGTTTTATTACCTCGTAGTTTTTTGTGTCTACTCATACCTGTCAACCCCTTATCAGTGCCCTACCTTATTACAGACCAATTCAAACCTTATTGGTCACCCCGTGCCCTTATAAATCTCAATGTTCATCCTACAAAGTCCCATCACAAGGGAAAAACACAAACAAATTGACATATTTTTTTGTCTGTATTGAAACGGCTGTACGCCGTATGGACCTGAAACCCAAATTTCCCTGCAGGAGAATACGGGGTAAACCGTGATGGGTTGACAGCGATGTTAATGCCGTCCAAAAATCCGCCACTTCCCCTCTCCACCCCCCAACTTGTCACAACGATGATACATCAAGCTGCGCATTTTGATGTGGCGTCACATTTTTCAGCCCCCCCCCCCCTCGTCACACATCGTCACAAATGTCTAACCGACCACTTGGAAGATTTGGTCGCCCCAATCTTGACTCCGTGTCTACAGCCTTGCTATTGAGGATAGCCCACAGTGAGACTGCAATCACCGATCTCAAACCCATTGGCCGCTTCCATCACTCCGCAGGCCGTGCACTGGCTCACTCGCCAACCTCCTGCACACGACCATAGAGAAGAGGACGAAGACGTACGAAGCGATGTGACCGCTGTCAGAAGATACCCTGGCGATTCGCCTTTCGACAAATTGCGAACGACCGCGGGGAATTTATTTGAGCGTTTGCAAACGCGTGAGTTGTAGGTGTCGGTGTTTGGACAATTAAACGCAGAATACTGGATGAATACTGGCAGAGTGATTCGTGAACTGCGCTATGGACCCAAAGCAGCGACCTGAGTTTTGAAACCTTGGCCACGGCTAACATCAGTGGCGAGCGATAGCTAAACATATTCTGGGCCCAGACACCACCCACCACCGCCCTCCTCCAATTCCCCTTCACCAACTCGCACTGACCAGCATGGTGAAGTAAGTTTAAACGACGACCATCACCGACACAGCACGGAAAGGCTTTCAATCAGGAGTGGGTTGGCAAGTTACATTTCCTCCATCAATCTGCTCTTATCTTCGAACCTGTTAAGCTGTCGATCCAATGCATCACCTCCACAAGGACCTTGAGTGTCATTGATTTTACTCCATCCCTCCTTAACTAATTCCCCCCCCCCCCAACTCGCCCCCACCTCCCCCCTTATCTCTGGGCAACGCTCAGTCAACAAATGTTGCCCATCAATTGTTCATCTTGCTGATTGCAATTCCCGTGTGGGTCACTGTGACATCGTGCGGCGCGGGGAAGATTTAGCGTGGCAAGGGGCTAACAGTTCAATACCGGCGACGACGGGTAGGCAGGCTCCACGCGTGTGTCGACAACAGACTCAAGAGGCTTGCGTTGACCACCGCTCTGCTCAGACGCCGGAGAACTTCTGACAGCGAGCGAATCGCCACCGCATTGGAAGATGCTGGCTCCACAGCGGCCTCCGTTTGCGCCGTCGCCGCTTTTCACCGCGGCTTGTCAACACGCGCTTTACTTGACGGCACACACAAACCCGAGCTTGGGAGGCAAGTGCAGGACTTCGATTTAAAGATTTCGTGACTGCAGAGATTCATCTTCTTGGTTCTTTCGGTAAAGTCACGTAGAATGGAAATAATAAAATAATAAAAGAAAAAGAAACATAATAACATAATTCTCACGACGTTTCGGTCACAACGCAAGTAGCCGTCCTCAGGTGGAGAACAGGGCTGTCGGAAAGACAGCGTCCTAATGAATACTGCTTAAGCTTGGCAGCGTATTTTAAGCTGGGTGGGAAGAGGAGAGCGCCTTGACAAAGGAGTTGACATATTGTAAATGCGATTGGTATTACCTTAGAGTCGCGGCATCTCTTCAGAAAGGTGAGAGACTCGATTAGCTGAGCCTCCTTATCCCGGAGTTTGTTGAAGGATCTCAAACTTATGTGGAATCCCTCCCCGTAGAGGCGGTAAAATTTCGATTTAAAGCTTTCGTGACTGCATGGATTCATCTTCTTGGTTCTTTCGGTGAAGTCACGTAGAAGGAAAATAATAAAATGATAAAAATACAACTTAATAAGATAAAATTCTCACGACGTTTTGGCCACAACGCAAGCAGCCGTCTTCAGAGCGGGCTGGTTTTCGTTGCGAGGGAATTGTCCACTATGTGCATCACCGCTTGACCTCGTCATTACCACGTCAAGGTCAAGAGGTCATCGTTGCTAACGCGTCAATGCCACCACACCTCACCATAGCTTATGTCCTGCTAAATCCTCTCCAGGTGTGAAGTTGACACGGTAATAATGGATTAGTTCAGCACAGGCCCAAAAGCCTAACATTTTTAGTGGCCAGAAAGAAACAGCACCATCACATTTGTAAGAGATCAAGAGTGACCGCGGGGCCGTCCATAAATGACATCACGCGGTTTTGGACGATTTTTGACCCCCCCCCCCCCCTCGTCACACGGCGTCACAAAAAGTCAGACCCCCCTCAAATATGGCGTCACAAAGCTCTGCCCCCCCCCCCCCAAAAATATAAAACATGCTTCAAATCGCTTTAAACTATTGTCATTGTAGTGCGTATTTAATGTGGCGCTGCACTCTGATGTTGTAGGAGAAAACATTTATTAAAAAGTCTATTTAATTAAGTAGAACGTGTTGTCTATATTTATTTAAAGTTGCGCATTTTGATGTGACGTCACAATTCTCCCCCCCCCCCCCGCTCGTCACACATCGTCACAAATGTCTGACCCCCCCCCCCCCCCGAGGTGCGTGACGTCATTTATGGACGGCCCCCCACGCTTCTTCTACGACTCAGTCCGCCCGCTTGGATTTTAGCAAGTGACTGGACAGAAAATGTTTCGGCAGTACTGAACACACATTTATTATAATATTGAATAGATGTCTTCATACGTAGAGTCACAGAACGAAGTTCTGCTGATGTTTGCTTGCATTGGCACCATGACAGTGTTGAGACTGTGCGCTTTGGCCGTGGGGAGCTATGCACGCCTGTAACCCAACGCTGTGAAGGTTAGTGTGGATGGATCATATCAATATTTACCCAAAAAATTTTTCACGTGAAACACAGCGCCGTCGTGAGACATCCCTGCACCATAAGAACGATGCGAGTATAAAATCTCCCCAATTATTATCCTCATCAGAAATTATTACCAAGTGGAATTGCTCATTTTCCAATTTCCCCGCGATGTGCCAATCTGTCTGCCGTTGCCATGCCACGTGGCGAATCGTACGAACACGTGGGAGCGTGAGTGCGCAGGGTGCCACGTGCTCGACTCTTCCTAGGCGCGAGGTGATGGGGGGAGCGATGGCGTTAAGCAGTTAGCGCTACGATGCGTTCAGAGACCCGGCCACCCGAGTTCGATTCCCGCTCACGACCAACACCGATGACGATTATCTGAACCGGTCCTGGGCCTCCCCTAGGTCGACTCAGCCTCAAATGAGTACCTAGCGCGATGTGTTAAAACATTAGCACACGGGAGAGAACGGAGGCCGGGCGTGGTGCTGCCCCCCCGCCTCCCTCGTGTGCTCGCTAACAGCACTTGCCCTAACATTCTGTTAAGGCTGTACGGGGGATCTTTGTCTTTGCGGTGAGGGGTGGGGGTAGTTGGGTGGAGGGCCTCGTGTTTTTCATCGGCGCGTCGCCTGCCTGCAACGCGCATGCAGCACCAAGCAGTTCGGTCATTACGCGCGGAGATCCCAGGCCAAAGGTGCCAGGAGAGGGAGCGCGTCTTCAATACAATCCACAATGAATTCAACGGAAATGTGTTTTTTCGGTGTGTTTTTTTCTGCATCCGCAGAGGCTGATAATCACAGAAATGTAACGCGAGCACACGGCCGTTTTTCGTGGCTGTTAACCAAAAAAAGTTTTCTGAATGGCTTTTTGTTGTTCTTGTTGTATTTTTAAATCCTTTATATTAAATTCGCATGCTTGCTTGCTTGCGTGCTTGCGTGCTTGCTTGCTTACGGCCGTGCAAATCTTTCGGTCGTTTCTTAACCCACTTCCCGTGATCCAATCGAGCTGACATTTTCCACACAGACTCGTTGTGCGTGACAATTAATTTTCGTGAAAAAAAATTCCCAAAATTTTACACT